AGGAAATATAGTGTGTGTGTGTGTGTGTGTGTGTGTGTGTGTGTGTGTGTGTGTGTGTGTGTGTGTGCGCTTTAGTAAAACAAGGCCCCATTTTCAGCATATTGCCTCCAACTGCTTCTTAATTGAACAGATTGTTGATACCGGATCCAATACCCAGCGCTCTCACGTATAATTTTCCCCTGGATTGAGTTTTGTAAACGTATCACACCAAGCTATTTATCATGCCTGTAAATTGACTGTTTGCTAAAGCATAACTGCCAGCCGCCGTTTGGGAGGCATTCAAGAAATGGAAACTTTCGGGGGGAGTGCTGGGGGGGTTGGGGGCTGTTTAAATAAACGATGAAGGATGTGTCATAACACATGTGGGCTAAAAAGAGCCTGTTTGGTCTCATTTGGAAACAGACAAGCACTAATTCAAATCACTCAAAATTGCCACAGTGCACTGTTTAGAATTAGCCCTGAGAGATCCCGCGTTTCCCCCACTCTCACTCTTGTCTTTTTCCCTCTCTCACTCTTGCGGACCTTATCATGTGTAAAGTGACGTGCACAAAACCTCATCTCAGAACATCAAGCTGAATTTACAACCTTCTTTCAAGTCTTTGTTTCCCTTCCCTTCCCTCTCTTCCCTGTCGTTATTAAAAAAGATGTGTTGAGATATGAATCCCTTTTATGGCAGACTCTCCAGTTTGCTCCTGAAATGTGCCCCCAGTGGTCGGCCAGCACATTTGGTGTGCGATGGCTCATCAAGCGTGCTGCTGAATATTCTCTGGCCTTGTGTTAGTCTCTTCTGGCAGTGCTGTCATTGATTATGAAATCCAGAGCAGAGTGTTTGGCCGTCATACATCTCCATTAGCTCGCTGCTTGACTACCATAGATTTTCTTGGCCCTTGTCGGTGTTGGGGTATTAAGAGAATATGGTCCTCCCCTTGATGTAAAGTCCTGCTAACCACTCTCTCTCTCTCACCATCTCCCTGATTTTTTTTCTTCCTCTTGTCTCTCTTGTTTTCTCTCTCTCTCTTTTCTGCCCCCTCCCGTCTTCAGTGGTCGTATCTGTGCTGCCTCTGTGCAATGTATTATGTATAAAGAGCTCTTTATCTTTGACGCCTGCTGTGGACAGATCAGAGGACTGGGAGACAAGATGTAACACCATCTTTTCCTTTGTGTTCACAGGCGGCATATTTTATCATGAAGATGAAATTCTATGAGGAGATGGCGGTCAGGGTAAATATCACCACAGTGTCTTGTTTTAGCAAATGGAGTGTCGTGGTGAGGGGACACTGTTTCTCTGTGTGTGCTGTAAATGGGAGGCCCCATGAATAGCAGCCTGTAAGCACTTCATCACACCACTTCATTTAAAAAAAAACTATCATACCAACTTTTTATATCTTGCATGCAGTCTTTTTTACTTACTTTTTAACACGTGGCATTATGTCATTCTTGTACAGTTTAATTTTCTACATTGTTTAGACCAATTAGAATCAGGTATACTACACAAAAGAAAATACCCTGATTATGCTATTTCAGAATGACTTATCATTATTATGTCTGGACAGTTTTATCTTTTAACTGGTCCATGTCCACAGTGTCTACTTTTCATAGCTTAAACCTCATTCTATATATCCAGTGCTTGAGCATCTGAATAAGAGTGAATGCTGTTGAATGGTAGTAGCCAATATCTAACTTGTATCTCAGCCATTACTTCACCTTTTTTCCTCTCAGTACTCAGGCCCATCAAATGTTCTTTTTCTGCTCAGCAGCTACTTTTGTTCACCTCATAAATCATAACACCAGCCTGTGACTGATGCTTTGTCACTTTTACATAAGGATATTGCACAGAAAGCTTATATTTTTACAACTCCATATAGTCTACTCTTTTGTCCAACAGGTTCACTCTGCTTAAACCATTAAAAGGTTTTATAGGCCAAAAAAAAAACAACAAGTGTTTACTAAAGAGGGTGTGCTGATTTCCAGTATTTTCATCCATCCATCCATTATCTATACCGCTTATCCTGAACAGCATCATGGGGGGTTAATCCCAGCTAACACTGGGGGAGAGGTGGGGTCCACCCTGGACAGGTCGCCAGTCTATCACAGGGCTGACACTTAGAGGCAGACAGCCACACACTCAGTGCTACGAGCAATTTAGAGTTACCAGTCAGCGGGTTGACCAGGGCTCAAACCTAGAATCTTCATGTTATAAGGTGACAGTACTAACCACTGCACCACCATGCTACCCCAGTATTATTATACTGGTGGAGAAGCCTGAAAATTAAGTTTCAGTTTTTGCATCTAATAGAAATCTAAACAAATACTGTATATCTGACAACCCCACTGTTTCATTAAATGCCACATTACAGGAGACACAGGTCCAGGATTTTTAGGTCACAGGATGAAAGGTCAGGGGTGAAGTCACCATACATTACCCATATAAGATAACCAACCCTCCTCTAGGAAGCAATAGGATTTTTAATAGATAAACCCCCCAAGGGCCAAAAGAGGCTTTTTTCCCCCCTGCAGGCTATCAGTTTTATTCTCTGTATTTGTATGGATTTTCTGAGTGCTCAAACATTTTTCCTACTTTGAAAACCATACATGAAGATATCAGGAACACATCTGCCACTGGCCTTGACTTTGGTCTCTGAAGTGGAGTTGGTTCCTGCATGCCACACTGCCCACTGCTCCTAAAGAGAAATCACTGAACAAATGTAGAAACGAAATTCCCTAGGACATTCAAATAAGTGCAACTTAAAAGTTCAACATCAAAAGGGTTTTGAGAAAATATATTGAGCACCTGAACCTAGACTAAACACGTGTCAAATGTCAACATGCGATTCGTCAGTGTGACGATTCGCTGTGGCGACCCCTAAACGGGAAAAGCCGAAAGTGACGTTACTTTTTATGAATAACTCCTCTTGAGTTGATTTTTGATTTATATAATCTAGGTGGTCGGGGGCAGACACAGTCTCTATGGGGTACTGGGAGTTTTGGGTGGGTAGCAGCTGCAGATACGCAGACAAGCGTGCAACACTGCGTCCTGGTGTCAGCTCTGGGTTCAGGTTGTAAAATAAATTCGTCCAGATTTCTAGATATGAGAGCCGCACCATCCAAAGTGGGATGGACGTCGTCTAATCAGACCAAAATGTTTTCCAGTTGTCTATGAAGCCCACGTTATTTTCCGGGCACCACCTAGACAACCAGCAGCTAAACATGTCGTCACTGGTCAGACTGGGCAGGGGTCCAGAGAAAATTAAAGATTGTTAGTGACCAGACTTAGCGCCGACGTGAATAACAATCTTACCATGTTTAAGCTTTAGTCAGCAGCTTCAAAGGGGATTCGATGTCGCCGGCTCTGGCCCCAGGAATACATCCGACTATGGCCGCCGGTGTCTCTAGCTTCACGTTAATGACTATGGAGTCCCCAATTACCAGAGTTGTCTTCTCAGCGGGTGTGTCGCTAAGTAGGGAAAATCGATTTGAAACGTGAACAAAGAATTGAGCATTCGTTTCGAGCTATGACTCTTGCTAACGAACACCCAGCCACCTGGCTGAGCTCCCGACTGCTCGGGAAACCCTTGGGTCGGCTAGCTTGGGCACAGCTACGTCTAAGAGGCTCCACACCGGCTACATGGGCATGGCTAGCGGGGCTGTTTTCCATGGTGCGGAGCCGCGCTTTCAAGTCATTGAGCCTCACCTCTAATGCTGCTAGTGTCTGACATTTGTTACAAATACCATTATCACTAAAAGAGCCAGATCAATAAATTAACATGTGACACTCCGAGCAAAAGAAGCGGGAGGGGGGCATTGCTGAAAAGCTAGCTAAGACCCAAACTAATGTAGCAAGTTTAATTTGGTAATTAGCATGAACTTCTTCTTACGGTGTTTATTGGCGGTTTGCAAGCCAACCTAAGGTGCATTGCCACCTGCTGGGCGGGAGTGTGGAACGATAATAGAGCCATAGGAATACACACACATATATAAAGGCTTCTTAGAACTGCATAAACTACTAAATCCTATCCAAAATAACCAATAACAATTTTATGATATATTAGTAATCTTCTTTTTTCCATTATGAGCACGCTGCTCATTATAAGCACTGCATATGAATAGGACATGCTCTACAGTCTACCTGACTACAATGTGGACAAAGACCTGTAGGGTGTTAACCTATTTTGTGCAGGGTATGATTTAAAGTTGTGTGACCTATTCTCAAGCGAGTTACTACACTTTCCTCTTTTCTAGTACCAGTCCATGCCTGTTGGTATCCAACCACTTTTTGGACCTTGTACAAATGTCTGCCAGTTTCACAACCATCCCACTACTCTTGCCTAGCAGGAACTTCTGTAACACAGGTGCTTAAGTATTGCAGGCGTATGTCATCAACTCAAAAAATTCAGATAAACCTAGAAAATAGTGAGCTTAGTCCCAAAACAATCTGGTAATCAAGCACAACACAGTGCAGGTACAGGCACAGGAAACAGGAAGTGAATACGATTACTACAGGAACAGGAAACAGCTGTCCAGGCTACCACCTGAGGGCTTATCAGACAGCAATGTTTGCTTTCTGTCAGGATGTGTTAGATTACTTATGTCCTGTAAAATGTTGGCAGGACTATGAGCACTACACTGCAGTCTCAGCATCTCTTCAAAAATGGCCCTAGTGTTTGTATGTATTTGTATGCATATGTATGAAACTGAAATGGAGAGAAAGAGACCCTGTGTAAAGGACACCTGTACTCACTGACCATATTTTACCAAAGAAATTCAGTGTGTAAATAGTGAGAAAGAGGGAGAAACAATCATCTCAAAATCCCCTTGTGACACTTCCCTTTGAATCAATTTAGATTCTGTTCTTTTTCTCTCCCCTCCTGTTGTCTTTATCACAGCGTGGTAGCTAACAGAGGAGAATGTATTAGAGCTGTAATAGAAACTGGTGTTTACATGCCGGACCTCGGATTTGTATTTGATTCAACAGCATCGATTTCACTAGTCAACAAAGGTCAGCAAGAACTCAGGAGGCGGCAATTACTTTATTTAAAATTATCTATTGACTGGCAAATCAATGCTAATTCTCATTTTGCTATTTGTTGTTTTTCCCCATCCTCCACTCCACTCTACTTCTCTTCTCATAGTGTGATTATTCTTTTACCTGCCATTGTTTTAACCCCCTAATTAGTCTGAAGGACATCCGGCCCCTTGCTTTAAAATTGCCAAATAGTGTGTGTGGATTGGGCGTGTGTGCTAGCTAATCTTCAGTCACCACAGTCAGTGTGGACTCATACAGGTAAATGTAAGGAGCCATGACAGGTGTCTGTTCCTCCATCACTAATGGCATGCATGGTTTAACATCCTTCTCCCAAATACATGCTAATACCACGCATCCTCAACAAATTCAACTAATGAGAAGAAGCACTGGCAAAAATGGGGTTTCATATTACATTAAATACAAAGAAAATAAATATAGCAATGTATTTGTTTTTTGCTTGGTAATATGGTTATAATTTTTATTATTGTATAAAACAATCTTCCAAAAACTTGAAAAAAATAAAGACCTGATAAACACAACATCCTCTTACAGTTACAGTACCAGACTGCCATACTTCCCCATCTTGTTGGAAAATGTCTGAGGAAAACCTCTGACATGCTTTAATCTTTCACAGATCCAACGAAGATGGAGAGGATTCTTTGTAAGGAAGTATATTCATAACTTCTATGTGCGCAAGAGATATCTGCAAGGACTTTCCAGGAAAAATGAACTTGTCAGGTAAAAAAACTAAACAAATGGCATTGTATGTGTGAGAGCAAACAGTTTGACATGATTGCTATTGAAAGAAGCCTGATCCTCTTTTGCTTTCATTTTTTGTGTGGGTGAGCAGTTTATATTGTACAGACTTCTTTGTGTAGCTGTATTTCTCATTTACAGTGCAGCTGTAAATATTGTACTGTACATACTGTAAACACTGCACAATACTTAGTGACAAGTAAGCAAGGTGTACCTTTTTGTAAAGGTGTTGTACAAGACTGAAAGGAGAAAAAAATGTTGACTGTGCTTCCTCACAACTTTTTGGTTTTCCCATTTCTATCCTGTCTCACCCACTTTCTGTCTTGCTGTCATTGTACCATTTACCCTTTACTGTATGTGGTAAAACATATTTTTGCCCAGAAACTGCTATAGGATTAGGAATGTGTCAGCACATACCTGTCAGTCAAGATGAATTGATTTGATGAGTGTAAAGGCAGTTGGATAAATGGCTTACTTCTGTAAACATAACCTTAAAATGTGTGCATGTGTGTGTATGTGAGAGAGAGAGGGAGACTGAGGTGTTGGGAAAAAAAAGAGCAAAGAAAAAGTGAAGGAATGAAAGAGACAGAGAGATGAAGAAAGAGGAAACAAAAGAGAGAGAGAGAGAGAGAAGTTCTCTGAAGTGCTCGAGGCTAAGAGAGAGAGAGGTGAACGATGTGAAGAAATTAAAAATTAGCCTCTGATTTGAACTGCAGCTTGTGCATTAATAAAACATCCTGTGCTCCAGGGCTTACTACTAGAGATACGTCATCTTTTCTTTTGACAAAAAAAACATCACTTTTAGCTAATAGTCACATTTTTAATGTTGCTGATATATTTTACTGGAAAATATCTTTAGGCCTCTGCTAAAATTAAATGTAAATTTGTTAAAGTGTTCCTCGGATCACTGATTTCCCCCCTTGCTTCCACATCAGCATTCCACCTTTCCTCCACACTCCTTTTCCCTTTAAGTGGTAGTGGGGACTACACTGTGCGCGTCCATGCAGGAGACTGTGTGTCTGTGTTGCCACAGACACACAAAGACACACAACTTGTTAAGTATGCGGTCATACCAGTGATTAAAGATGGAAAACTGGAAAAACTGCTAATAATTTCTTAATCAAACTTGACTATAAAGTGCTTAGAATGAGCATTTACGGAAGTTAACATGAAAATATATTGACAGAGTTTGTGAAGTTATACCATAGGTTGCACAGCTTATGAAAATGTGATATGAAAAACAGTAAACTAGTACTCAAACTGAAGATTGTATTGCGTCTCATGCCAGAAGATATCAGTTTGCATATTGCAGACCATAACAATAAAATCTTTTTTACTGGAATGTGCTCAGACAAACGATAAGGCGTTTTACATCTCTTTTCACCTTCTTACATGGTGTATTTTTGAAAACAGTAAAATCTAAAAACATTACAAAAATGTTAAAATAATTGTAAAAACTAGCTCAAGATTGTGATGTGATGTCATTTTACAGGTTTGGTTGCGCTGTGTTGTCCTCAGCTGTGTGACATCTCTACACTGACACACACACTGAGCCCCTCCTCCACAGTGGTTTGGCATGCTGAGGTCACTTTCTCTGCAGTTAATCACATGTTTATTTAGTGGTGCCGGGGTCACGATCAATTAACGTTGGGCAGGCATTTATTTAAAATATCCTTTGTGTGTTAGCCTCTGATCCCTCGATTCACATGCTGCCTGATTGCTCACCCCACAAAGTTTTTGATCCACCTGCATGCTCCCTCCCTTTGTAAGTCTGTCTGCAAATTAATTATTCAAAGGTGGACTAATGGTCCATATTTAGTGCAGGCTGATCGGCTGAACATGGTAATGATACAGGAGTAATACGTAGACTTCTGAACATCTCTGTGTGACTCTGTTTTAGTCTCTCATTCTTTCTTGTGACAGATCTCCCCCACATGAAACCATCTGTGTCATTTCCTTAGGTACAGCATCCAGCTAATACACGGTACTTACGCTGCCCTCTTCTATCCCCTGCCCTCTCTCTGCCTCTCGCCCACAGTCTGTGCCTGTGCCCTGTCTTTTTATCCTTCCTTTTCTCAGTCTATTTTGCTCTAAATCTTTCTCTCCCTCTCTCTTTGCCACTGGTTAACTGAGCCTCAGTGTCCATCCTCATTCATTGTTCCTCTTCTTCTGCATGGCCTAATGAAGTCAGGACCCCAGCACAGTTCCCACTGCCACAGTTTTCCTTGGAACCCCAATAATTTATCACTTTGTCAGGGAGACACTTAAAGTTCTTGGGCTTTAATAAGGGCATGCGGTGGGACGATGGGGGCAATTAGGAAAGCAGAGCAAGCCCGGTTTGCATATTTACCAAATGTGCTGGTGTCATCGCTGCTGCCACCAACACGGCCTGTTGACTGCATAAATTATTCCTCTATCTGCTATAAACAGCTGCTAATTATTACTGCCATAATCAGATAACAAATTCTCCCACTGATGTTGCAATAACATGGCAAAATCTTTTAACCTATCCTAAAGAGACCAGAAAAAAAGGAAGCTCAGGGAGGATTTATAGACTTGGTGTTACTAGGCTGAGCAGCACCGGTGTTTTATTCTTCTCTTCTTGTGCTGTGCTGTCTCTCTTCCTCTCCCTCTACTTTCCCCTGTCTCTTTACTCCAGCCTTTTTCATTCCTCCCACTCTTGTGTCTGTCTCAAGGACATTCATGAAAGGACAGCTGCTATGTGGAGAGAGCGTGGGCCTGCCTGCACGCCTGCCCTACGATCACTCCCCGCTTCTGTGCGTCAGTCTTTCTTTTACTGCTCATTCTTTCTGATCCAGTTCAGGCAGGGACAAGTTCATTCCTTCACTCTGATTGGATTTGTATATTTAGTGTGTGTGTGTGTGTTTGCGTGTTGTAGTACAGTCTGGGTGCCCTCCTTGCCTCTTTAGGAAATTACTTTTGAGAGTGAAACAGTAGAGAAAGGTAAAGAAAGCATATGAAATTGAAGATTTATTTATTTTTTGTATTCAGGATATTGATTGGATATAATTTCAACACTGGAATCATTGTTTGCTTTCACACCTTTCATGACATCGGTTTTACTACTTTAGTGAATTAGTTAATCAATCAGTCGGTCAGTTAAAGGCTGTGTTATGAGTGTGTTGAAGGCTCAATACATTGAGCTGGTCACTCTCTGAATTGACTGGTTGACTATCCCTCTTTGCCAGCTATTGAATCATTTAATTGGAGCAATTAAAACAGCCAATCAGGTCAAGGCTCCATTAAATATTTAGAACCTGGCCAATTAGCTGCCCTGGCGCTGGCCTGGGCGACCGCAGGTGAGGCTTGGTGTCCCACAATGCCTCATTCTCTGATATCCCATCAGCCCTTGGTGCCCCAGGAGTAAATAATTGAGGAAGAACTGAGAAATGTAGCTGTATTATATTAGCCATTTAAATAAGTTAACAGGGTGAAAATGTCAGTTAGAGCTTCGGTTATTTGAAAGTAGCACAGAGTGATTAACTTGTTCAACAGTTCAACAGTAGCTATCAACATTAAATTGTAGTCACAGTGCCTTTTATGGCACCTGATAGTCATTATAATAGAGCATTATGTTATTATAAAATAATACTTCAACATTACAGTCATTTATATATCTTGATGATTTTATAGCACAGTGAAACTCGTAACAAATGTAATGTACTACCATGATAATTAAATTATAGCACATTTACAGTATATTGTAATCCTCTTATCTTACAGTTGAATTACTTTGAAGCAAAAATTATTTCAGCTCTAAATGCATGAACCTAATGCTGTTATTGCTGTTTTAAAGTAGTCATTAACATGTCCCCTGAAAACATTTTGGAAAGTGCATTAATGCTGTTTTTGATGTCGGTGTGTCTGAAACTTAAATTCTGGTTTTCATATATTCATATTAGTCTAATGATGTTACATGTGTTTAAAACTAAGATTACATACAATCATTCAAAAAAGACTACACTCAAGGTACGAGCCAGGTGTGCTCAGCAACAAACAGAATTTAAAAACGTGTTTGCACTTGAACATCCAACACTCAATGGGTAGACATGCCTGAGTTGTTAGTTCACCACACCGCAGAAGGCAGCTGTGCCGAAACATCTGTGTGTTCTTTATCTGCCATGAGATTTTTAAGCTTCAGAATAAAATCTTATATTTGGGGCATCCTTAGAAGTGCAAAGGCCATTTTTAAAATTTTATTTGTTAAAATTAAGCCACTAGGGCTTCAGGCTCTTGTTCACTCTGCTAAAATAACAGAAGCCAAATTTGGATCATCAGGCAGCACGGTGGCACAGTGGTTAGCGCCATTGCCTCACAGCGAGAAGGTTCTGGGTTTGGGCCCCACCTGGGACCTTTCTGTGTGGAGTTTGCATGTTCTCCCCGTGCTTGCGTGGGTTCTCTCCGGGTACTCCAGCTTCCTCCCACTGACCAAAGACATGCAGCTTAGGTTGATTGGTGTCTCTAAATTGCCCGTAGGAGCGCGTGCGTGCGTGTGTGTGGTTGTTCGTCTATGTGTTGGCCCTGCGATGGATTGGCGACCTGTCCAGGGTGTACCCCGCCTTCGCCCGATTGCCGGCCGGGATTGGCTCCGGCCCCACCCGTTACCCCGTTCAGGGACTAAGTGGTAGAAAATGAATGAAATTTGGATCAGTGTTTAAGTGTCATACTTTTAGTCATGTCAGTGCTGTGTGTGTGTTTTCCTTTTTTGTTGACATGACGCTGTATTGAGCTGTGGAGTTTAGGCATCATCAAATTCATAAAATAGAGAATACTGTGCTGCTTTCAAGTTTGAATGCTTATTTTGTTAGTACCAGTCCATAGTCAGTATCGATATATGGTAAGTGAAATCTTGAAAAAGTGAGATTCAGATTTTGTACTGTGAACAAATGTGCTATATAACACATACATTTGTGTTTTGCCCTCTATAGTTTGAAATCTTTCTTTCTTTGTACTTTTCCTCAGTCAAACACACACACACACACACGCATGTGCTGCGTGCCGAACAGGGCTAATGAGGGTTGTATGTTGTGGCGGCTGGTTGGGTCGACACAGATCGAGGTGCCTTCAGCCGTTACAAATCTGTTTGGCTTTTGTCCACTACACAGCAATTAATAACATGAGGGCTGGGGGCAGGGAAGCAAAGGTCACCCGTTCAGCCTGACACACACATACACACAGACATGTCAACACACATGCAAGCAAAAGTGTGTGAACATGTAGCATAAACATTGATACACACATACCTAATGCTGATACACACACACATACAGCTGATCTAATTACACTTAAAGACAAACAGGCATATGACAGGAGGTCCTGGCACCTAAAAACACTGCCAGTCAGTTTTTAATACATGAATAAACACAAACACACACATACACTGTAAATACACACATTTACCAATTGGTTTGTGAACCAGACTGGCCCACAATAAACCAGAACTTTATATTTTGCATTAATAAGTTAACCAGGTGGACAAATAGAGGCCAAAGAACCTTTATATTTACACAGATCCATACACACAGTCTTAAATTACTGACATAAACAGACACAGACATATTTAGACTTGCTCTTCCCCCCCACACACACACACACACACACACACACACAGTGCTCTGCATATTTCATATATTTTGTAATTTAATCTGGTGCTGAGGGAGGAATGAAAATGCAAAGGCAACAGGAATGGTGTTGTGATTTCTGTTTAAATGTCAGTAGTCGCCGAATGTGTTAACCTCACAGCACAGACACACTATTAATATTCTGATTCCTCTGTGGAGGCTTGTAATTGAAACCAGAGGTTGCATAGAGAAAGAAACAGCAGAGAGCAATGAGACAAAAAAGGAGGGTTAGGGAAAAAAGAGATGAGGGGTTGTTGATGAGCTATGGCTAAACTCTTATTGGTATCGTTCTCATGGAATTAAATTGGTTTTACTCTTAGGTGTGTGTGCGTGCTTGTATTTTCACATTACCATAGCTTGTGTGTTTTAGTAATTGTTTCCAGTTCCTTTTTTAAGTTATTACCCCCCTTGTAACAATAAGGCTGTGTGATTGCAGTATGAAATTGCTATGTATGGGTTTTTAATGCATCCCATTTAGCCAGCTTCGCTTAACAGATGTCACAGACAGACCTGTCCTGGCTGCGGTGATGAAATATATCCATCATCCTCCCACTTAGAGCCAATTGCAGCCTCACTTTGCTTTTTTCCCTTCCATATAGTCTCACTCCCTTATTGTTCTCCCACAGCTCCTGTTTCTTCCAGTCTTTCTCTTATCGTTAGGTGGTTCTAAAGGGCCTTTCAGAGAATTGTAAGCTTTTTGACAGAAGCCTGTGTTCCAGATACATACCAGAATGTGTACAAATGTACTTGCATGAAGTTTACATTGCGTACAAGTCTTTCAGTTAATGGTTAGATATTAGTTCGCCTAGTTCTCCTACCCATCAAATGTTGCTTAACAACTATCCCATCCATTTTTCCAATTATCCAATGATAGTATCCATTTGAAAGTAATTCTACAATGCAATAAAGTCTGAATACTTTCTCAAAACCACCATATGCTTACAGATTTAAGACAGTAACATAAAAGTATACACATAATAAATTAGCCCATCATGATTATTATAAAAAAGTCAAGTTAAATAGCAGACTTGCAGTCAGGCAGTCACTGTCATGAATGATGCGATTTTATGTCAAAAGTTTGTATAAAACACTTTTTGATAATATTATTTTAGCTAATCAGCTATTGACATATTTTACTCTGATTCCTGTCAAGTAGTCATCATGTAAATTATGTTCATTGATAAGGAAGTTTGGAACTAGAGTTGTAAAAGCCTTTGTTAATGTGTGTGTGTGCCCTGCAGGAGGGATCTTGATGAACTTGAGGAACTTCAGAAGAGAGAGAGAGACTGTGTGGAGATGATTAAGGAGCAGACAGCCAAGGTCTACCAAGCTCACCGGTTGCATCACCTCCTCAGTACGAAACAGGTTTGTCTTCAGGAAGTCAAATATACACACACACACATAGAGTCACACACTCTCCATCTCACACATTTGACAAAGAAATGAGTATGATAAGACCAAAATATTACCAGTGGCAAATTTTAAATGGTGGTTTCTTCTTAACCACATCTACTGTATATAAAAATGGTTCAGATAGAAAATACATACTACATCAGTTATTTTAACATGATGGCTCCATTCAAAGCAACTTTTATGCTCAGTCAGCAAACAGTGTATGAAGGTGTTTTCACTCCAGATAGCATCCACAGAATCAGGCCTTGACTTTGTCCAGAGTTGCCCTTTCACACATGTAGCGCACAGACATGTTTTCACCTCCTGGAAATACTCCATTTGGGCTATACAAAAGGAGGACGCCGGGGTAGAGCATGCAGGAGGCAGGACATGACGTGGCCAAGTAGCTAGTTTTGTAATTTGGTCATAAACAACCCAGTTTCTTGCCATACCTTGAATTTGTCTGACAATTTTCAGCATCAGCGCTCAAGGACAGAAGTTTGTGTTGTGTCTCCAGTTAGATATTTTTGTTGGTGTTCTTATTATAAATGACCATTCTTCTTCACCATTGGATGTTTGTATTCTTCCGGTTTCACGGCAGTCACATGAATGAAAGATTGTCATGAACATGCCCACTAGCTCGGTGAGAATACTCTGGACTTCATGCTGATGTATTCTGACATGGGCTCACTAGGACTTCATTAAGGAGCTGAGAGGGTAAAGTCCACTTAATGTTCAGGCTACCTGACTCAGACATTTGTGTTCTCACATACTGCTACTCCAGGTCACATCTAGATACTTTCAGAGTATCAGTGCATGTCTGAAGAGGGCTTTACTGAGCATAGAGAAACAAACCTCAAGTTCTGACAGAAATCAGCTCTATAATAGAATTTTTTTTCTCGAAATGATTTGATGCACGATATGGTGTGTGTGATTCAGTTTAGTCACAATTTAACTAAAAATTCAATGACAGCAATATACGACTAGCTACAGAGTACTTTATTCCTCTTTGCCCGCCTTTTATAGCACAAGGTTTGACTGTGTAAAGAGCAACCAGATATAATGACTTATTTTTTATGCTATTTACAGAAAACATGAAGTCGCTGGTGTATGAAGACCACATCATATATATCGCTAGACAAAGAGATACATTTTTGTATCATGATATATTAAATTTTGATATATAACAGGACCTTGCATCATCAAATGTATGCACTAAGTGTATAAACCTGTAATAGTTACATCAACACGATTATGTTGTCAGTTTGTAATGTAGCAGCGACCACTTGCCAATGAAAAGCAATGATCAGTAGTGACAGCAGTGGGATGAATGTGATCTGATTGGGTAGTGGGTGGTACTATCAGGCCTTGATCTCAGGACTGTCTTTCTGAGCTGCGTCTACCAAATGTTTTCATAATTTAAGTTTGTTAAAATACATTTTTACTGTCACTATGAATGTAATCCATTAAAATGGCAGGGGCTGATTTAGTTTCAGGTTAGATAGATACATGCTTATTTAGTGTGACTTTGTCATATTGAAACATATTCTATAGAAATATAGACAATGTAGTTATTTCACACATACCCATACACATGTGCACATGCATAGCTAAATGTGCAGGGACTTCTGGAAGCAATGAGAAAAGTTCCACAGAGAGGGAGGTCCTTTTGGCTACAGAGTAAAAAAAAAGTCTTCTTTCTTTCCTTGTGTTAACACAGGTAGGTTGTGTGGAGTTTAGTTGTGTGTGTGCTCACATGAGTAAGTATGTGTCCTCATGGCTCTTCTCATGTGCTGAGTGGAGTATTTCAAAGCTTCCCCTGGTAAAGGTGCATGCACGTGTGTTTGTGTGCGGCATCCACACATCTCTGTGACTCCCCACTGGGATCATAATGAAGACAAAGCACACTGGTCACTGTTGATTCAGCACCACCACTCTTCTTGCTCTCTCTATCACTCTCTCTCCTTCATGCCTGTGTGTCCAGCATCGTCATCATCTGGTTTACTACATACTTCCTGTAGGTATCCCATGTTCGCTCACGATAATCACATACACAACATTTTATTATGAAGGCAAAAGTGGTGTCAGGTGCTATAGCATATACATTTTCTTACCTTTTACTCTTCAAATGCTTTGTCTGTGTACCAAATGTTCATTGTTTTTTGAGTTTATATATGTTGGTATGTTATGAATAATAAAGAAAAAACAAGAAGAAAAGTTGGCATGCTCTGTCCATCTCTTTCTCTTTATAGTTCTCGCTCTCTCTCTCTCTACATATG